AGTATAACTCATTTCTTATTTAATCATTTCATATCAAAAGGAGCAGGATTCAGAACCTGATCCACAAGAGAGTTGTGAGTAGGATACCAGTTTTATTTATTTTCTGTTTATTTTCTTAATTTTTTTGTATTTCCTCCAAAAGGGTAATTTCTATAACACTATTTGGACTTTAATTTTTTGTGTAAGGAATGTAAACCTTAATTATTTATTTCACTTCCGCACTAAATTCATAATTTATTTCCTTCAGAATTTTCGGGGTTGTTACAGTTGGTATCAGAGCTGCGTTCCTCGGACTCATTCCTTACACAAAACCCTTAGAAAATACTAAAAACAATGAATTGTTACTCAATCATTCATTATGAAATGCAATGCAAGTACAGATAGAGTAGGAGAGGAAGACCCCCACTAAACCGAGCAGCCTAGGAGGATTCGCTTAGAGAGGATGTTGACCAGTTATTTGAGATGGTGGAAAGACTCATTGCTGCCTAGTAGGCCCGGGAAGAAAGGAGGGAGCTACCTGACCCTGCCCCGCTGCCACAGGTTGAGCCACCCCAATATGACCCTGCTCATCTACAGTAGCACCCAGTACCACCACAGTATGATCCGGTGCCCCAGCCACCGCATCACCCAGCACCACCACAGTATAATTTGGTGCTTCCACTGTATCATCAAGTACCACTGCATGCCCATCCAGTCCATCCTCCGCACAGTCCAGTCCCTCATCCACGGAACCCAACTCCTCTCATGATGGACCCAGACTATATAAAAATGTATAAATGACTAAATTCATCTACTTTTGCAGGGAGATCCTCCTTTAAAGAGGCCAAGTTCTGGTTAGCTAAGATAGAGAAGGTCTTCAAGACCCTCGAGGTGATTCCTGAACAAGAGGTCATCCTTGCAACATACATATTAGTAGGAGAAGTAGACCGCTAGTGGTAACTCAAGCAGATCACCCTGCCCTTTCCAGTCACTTGGGAACAGTTCCTGACGACCTTTCATGATAGAGTACCTCCCAAAGCATCTCCGACAACTGAAGGATATAGAGTTTGCACACCTAGTTCAGGGGGACATGACTGTATCAGAATATGCTCGCAAGTTCCTAAAGTTGGGTCGATATTCTCCTGAGAGCATGATGGATGAAAGCAGGAAGGCTAGAAGGTTCGAGTGGGGTCTTCGTCCTGAGATCAGACAGTAGTTGTTTGTGCTAGAGCTCAGTACTTATTCGGCTGTTCTGGCTAAGGCACAATTAGTAAAGAAGAGCCTTTGCACCTTCCCTCAAGCAGCAAGGAACCTTAGGTCCTCAGCCCCATACCGCAGACGAGCACCTACTGTACTTGTTCAACAGAACAAGAGACAGGTTGATGACTCAGGCTCCCCCTCAAGTTCCAGTAGCAGAACGCGACAAGATCTGTCAGCATTGTGGTAAGGATCATGGGGACCGACCCTGCTATCGCCTCAACAATACCTGCCACATATGTAATAACACCCAACATTATGTAAAAGAGTGCCCGAGGAACCAGAACTAGGCCAGACCTCCTATCTAGGGCAGGACTTACAATCTTACTCAGTAAGATACAGAAGCCAACCCGAACATGGTACAAGATATGTACACTATCTGTAACTATCTCTCTCATGTCTTGATTGATACTGGTGCATCGCATTCATTTGTTTCATATTTTTTGAATCAAAATTAGATATATTAGCTTAAAAACTTAATTTTGTGTTATTTGTGTCTACTTCTGGGAGTAGGACACTACTGGGGGAGGTTGTATACAGAGTCTGTGTCATAGATATTGTTGATAGAAAATTGAGTATGAACATAATAGAAATTGACACGGGACACTTTGATGTAATTTTAGGAATGAACTGGCTAGCGGTGTATCACGCCGCCGTAGATTGTTTTAGCAAGAAGGTTGTATTCAACCCTCCTAATGAGGAGTCATTTACAAATTAATAAAATCATTTAACATTTGTTCCCTCATGATAAATTTTCTTATTATCAAGTACTTTAACCCAACTATTTTCTCTAACTAGACAAACCCAATAAAGAAATTTATATTCAAGAGATTTCGTATTTCGAGACTTTTCATATGTGTTTTCAGATGAACTACCTTGACTGCCAGTAAACAGAGAAGTCGAATTCACCATAGACCTTCAGTCAGGCACCCAGCCTATTTCGATTGCTCCTTACTGCATGAGCCGCGTTGAGATGGATGAGCTGAGGAAACAGATCACTGAATTGCAGGGCAGTGGATTCATCCGACATAGTATGTCTCATTGGGGGTGCTGGAGTCACATTTGTAAGAAATTAAGATGAGACGTTGAAGTTATGTATTGATTACAGAGGTCTGAGCAGGGTCATGATCAAGAACAAGTATCCCCTCCCTAGGATCGATGACTTCTTTGATCAGTTGTAGGGTACCCAGATTTTCTCCAAAATAGATTTGTGTTCAGTTTACCATCAGGAAAGAATCAGAGTAGAAAAAATTCACAAAATAATATTTCGAACCAGGTATGGACACTATGAGTTCCTGGTCATGCCATTTGGATTAACCAACGCTCCAACCATCTTCATGGACTTGATGAACTGGGTGTTCAAATAATTCCAGAATTAGTTTGTTATTGTGTTCATCGATGATATCTTGGTTTATTTAAAAAGCAGAGAGGAACACGCTCACCATTTGACTCAGGTTTTACAGTTTTTCATAGAAAATAAATTGTATGCAAAGTTGAGTAAGTGTGGGTTCTGCCTCGAGCAGACTACCTTCTTGGGACACATCATATCAAACAATGAAGTATTAGTGAACCCCGAAAAGTTGAAGTAGTGCTCGCCTGAGAAAAATTGACCTCGGTTAAGGAGATCCATAGCTTTTTGGGAATGACAGGTTATTACCGCAAGTTTGTGAATGAGTTTTCTAGTCTAACTGCTCCTCTGACTCAGCTCACAAAGAAGGATGTCAACTTTGAGTGGAATGAGAACTGTGAGAGAAGCTTTTTACAACAAAAGAAATGATTAACTACTGCACTTGTGTTGGTTTTGCCGAGCGGATCGGGTGGATATACAGTTTACAGTGATGCCTCATACCTAGGGTTGGGTAGTGTTTTAATGCAGTGTGGGAAGGTCATATCCTATGGGTCTAGGCAGTTGAAGAGTCATGAGAAAAATTACTCCACCCATGACTTAAAACTTGCAATAATTATCCACGCCTTGAAGACTTGACGTCATTATTTGTATGGGGAGACTTTTCATATCTATATCGATCATAAGAACTTGAAACACATATTCACTCAAAAAGATCTCAACATGCGTCAGAGAATGTGGATAGAACTCCTCAAAGAGTATGATTGTGATATCATGTATAACTTGGGTAAGGGTAACGTGGTAACTGACGCACTTAGTAGGAAAAGCGCAGGTACATTAGCTCATCTGATGGTTTCAGAATGCAGGCAGACAAGAGCCACACAATAAGTACAGCTTTAGAACCTGAAGAGAGTCACATGTTTGGGCCACCTGACTGTTTAGCCAGAGTTAATCCAGAGAATAAAGGAAGCTCAGTCCACCGATTCCACCTTAGCAGCTCTCAAGAAAAATGCAGAACAGGGAATTAACTCAAAATTTTGAGTCTCTGCCGATGGGTTGCTCAGATTTCAGGACAGAGTGTGTGTTCCAGGTGTGAGTGAGTTGAATGGGGACATCATGACAGATGCTCATAACTCAAAGTTTATCATGCATCCCGGAAGCACTAAGATGTATCAAAGTATGCGACCCTAATTTTGGTGGAACGAGATAAAAATAGATATAGCTGACTTTGATTCTAAGTGTTTGGTATGTCAGCAGGTCAAGATAGAGCATCAATGCCCACGTGGGCTATTTTAGCCATTACCAATTTCGGAGTGGAAGTGGGAATATATCACCATGGATTTTGTGACAGGATTGTCTAAGGCACGCTCAGAACATGATGCCATCTGGGTAATTGTTGACCGACTTACCAAGTCTTCTCACTTCTTGGCTATCAGGATGACGATCCCTTTGACAAGTTGGCAAGAATGTACATCTAAAAAATAGTCAAATTACATGGAGTGCCAATGACAGTAATGTCCGACAGGGATCCCAGGTTTATTTTTCAGTTCTGGTCTAGCTTTCAGCAAGCCATGGAAACGAAACTATCCCTTTAGTATTGCATTCCACCCTCAGACCAATGGACAGTTAGAAAGGATGATCCGCATTCTTGAGATATGATCCGATCTTGCATTCTTGACTT